ATCTGCCATGTACTCCATTGCTGGATAAGGTATGGAGACTCAGAGCAGATCAGGCCACACTGCCCTTAGGAAAATGGACTTGCTTGCACCCTGGGTAAATAACAGATTTTTTGCTTTCTGGCCCTACCACAATTCACTGGGAAAGCAGGGACAGTGGTGAGTGATTCAGCAAAATGTTTAATATGACTCAAAACAGAATAGTTTATAGTATTTTGTTTTCGGTTGTTTAACCTGTTTGTTTCAGAGGTTTTTCCCTTAACTTACGGTAACATGTAGATGAAAAAATATCATTAAAAAAATATGGTAAGTTCTGTTTAAAAATCTTTAAATGTTTAAACATTTTTGGAAGTTTCACCATTTTAGAAGAACTGATATTAGCCAAATTCAGTCTGAACTCTGTCTCCCCAAAATTCCATTTTTTAAATATACTGTGCGCCATAAAGTCCAATCAGCTGTACTCTAGATTCTGCAGGTCCTGTACAACAAAAATATATGTATACATATGGTATCATTATTTAATGATAGGCTAAGTACACCCACTTTTCCCAAAATAGTTTTCCTTTCTAGAACAGACTTAGTACTAGTAAAAATGGAGTATTGCCTGCTTAATTACCATTTAAGGCATTTAAAAATTTTATAAAATGATCCTGAAAAAAGGACAAATTTACAACTGAAATGTTAAAATAAAACTTTTGTTTTATAAATTACAAGAGCCTTAATTCTTTTTTCCTTTTTCTAGAGATTGGAGCTTGTCTGTTATATGGTATTAAAGATAGTAATAACTTTGCTTTTAAGGGAAAAGATAAGTTAATTGAGATGAACTGGAGCTGCTACTGTTGCTTTTGCTGTTGGAACCCAGTCCAGATTCCTTGAAGATGAAACAATACAACCATACACAAAAGTAAAGGCAGAAGAACAGCAAAGATAAAACATGTAGATTCTGCTTCTGTTGCTGGTTCTTACTTGCAACCTCTTACACACCTGGCAAATTTATACCAGTTTCTGGACAAGGGCTTACAAAAGTATTTAAAACTGATTTTGGTCAGTTAGGATGGACTCTTGTTTGCATTAACAACATCTAAAGAGTTAGAAAAGAGAAGAAAAAAGGTAGGAGATGGAGATATGAAGGTGGGAATTACAGAAAGAACCTAAGTTGTACATTCCTGGGAATGTTCAGGATTTAGCTGAGGATGGTAAAGGTGGTAATGTCTGCTGGGTCCCTCTCTTGGACTCAGTCTTCTTAAGAAATCACTCAGGATCACGACTACCATAGTCCAAAATCATAACAGAGGATTGTAAGAACCACAGCCAGGATAATAAAACATGGTCCTTTCAGTCCTCCTATAATCTAAGCATCAGTGACAAATTGAGGACCTCAGAAAGAGTTGGTGGAGAGAACAGACCATCTTCTTACAGTATGTATTCATATACCACAAGCACCTTTCCCCCCAAGCAGCATTTCTATTCTGATCCACTCTCCTTTTTAATGGTCTTGAGGCTCCATTAAATCAAGCTATCGTTTCTCCTTTTGTTTGAAATAATTCTTTAAAACACAGCTGATGGACACAGAATTGTAATTTAATGGCACGTCCCTATGGACTACGTATTTCAGACAGACTTGTGGATGCCCAATTCCTCTCAGGGCCTGACCAATACTCAGGGAAGTCAACACACATACATGGATTTGAATGAACCTTATATTTGTAATTTTGGAAGACAACTTGTTCAGAGATACGTAATATGACAGTTTGACCAGAAGAGTGCATATCCTTGATATTTTATATTTTATGTCTAAATCCTGATAAGAAGGTCAATACAAAGAACAGAAACAAGATGTAAATTCAGATTGGACATAAGGCAAAACTTCTTGGTAAGGGCCACCAGAATCTGGAACACACTCCCAGCAGAGGTGGTGCAGACACCCTCCTTGGAGGTGTTCAAGATGAGGCTGGAGAAGCACCTTATAGAGCTCATCTGAGCCCCGTAACTTCCTGCCCATGGCAGGGGACAGAACTTGATGATCTTACAGGTCCCTTCCAGTTGTATGATTCAATGATGCTTTTGTTGAACAGTAGTAATGAAACATACTAGTTGTTGTGAATTCTGATTGCCATGGCCCTCAAATTTACCTAATTAAAAGCCCTTTCATCATAAGGGAAATAGCTGGAATGCCAGTGTGTTTGTAATAGAAAGCAGTGTTTGTTAAATACATTTGCAAAACAAATTCTCAGCGTTCTTCAAATACATTTTAAAAAAACCTAATTAATATTAGGAATTAAAGCATTTGGGACTGATGTCACAGTTAATCCTCTTTTTGTTTTCTGATCATATAAAAGGTGATAGTTACCTTTCTTGTACAGCTTTTGAGCTCAGCTTAAGCTTAATTTGAGAAAAATGGAAATAATTTCAATCAAAAGGTATATTTTATTTACATTAGCCATGTTTTTCTTTTTAACATCAAACACCTTGTGCCTAGATGAAGGAGAAAAGTTCAGTCTGCAGAGCGGAGAAGATTATGATGATAAATATTCTGAGGTAAGACTTGTACTGATATAACATTTCAATAAATGTGGGTCTGATCCTGCACCAGCTGAAGTTAGTGGCAACCTTTCACTGACTTCAATCACACAGGATCACATTCCATGGCATTAACAGTCTAAAAAAAGCGTGTTGAAATAAATGTAATGAAATCCATTTGCTCTGTCACATGCAGTGGGCAAACCAATTTATGGTTTCTTGCAGTATATCCTTAGGATCAGGCTGACATTTATTCTGAAATTATTTTTGGTTATATATAAGGGACCACAACAAAAACTCCTGCCCTGTTTTATAAGCATGCAATATCAAAGATATGTTACTAATCCAAAATTAATAAAAGGAGTACTTGTACTATTCAAAGAATAATGAGAAATTGAAAAATAATGAATAATTCTAATGTGGTAAATGGATTTAAAATGCTATCCTGATTGATCATAAAACCCCTTATTTATTGTACCTCAATAGCTTTCAAATTAAATTTACACTATATATCTGAAAAATATATTTTTCCTGTCTTCCAGGCAAATACTGCTTGGGAACTGAGTGTCAAGCTATGCTCTTTTTATCTCATAAACAATTACTTGCCTAATACAGATTGTGCAAGCCAAAATATCAGTATAATTAAAGTTGTGCAACCCCACTGTCTTCAGAGTAACTTCCTCTGCTTACACAGAGACAGAGAGATAGAGGTTGCTCCCACAATTAGAACTTAATTGACAATGTTATTGATGATGTATGAACTAAAATAGAACCTAGTTTCTGTTCCAATAGCTGTGTTAACTCTTGCAGTGCAGTGCAGTGCAGTGCTAAGGGAAGTAAAAATTCAGAAAATGTACAAAAGAATGACCAGTATTAAAATTATCTTAAAAATAAATAAAATCTTATTTACTAATTTTCTTTTAAGACCAATAAATGTATATTTTGTCCATACTTTATGTATGCAGAGGCAATGCAGACAGTGGCTTTTTTAAAAATTATTTTTAAGTCAATGTTTGTTTTTAAACTACTACATCAGACAGTTAAAATGTTGGGGTCAGTTCTCTAGTGGACAGGACCCAGAGGCTGGGGTTCTGCACTGGCTGGCTTGATCACAAGATAAGGCACTCTAGGACAGGGGTGGGCAAAATGCAACCCGGGGGACGGATGTGGCCCACTAAGTCGTTCTATCTGGCCTGTGGGGCCCCTAAAAATTTAGGAAATTAGTATTAACCTGCCCTGGGCTGCCTGTCATGTGGCCCTCGATGGCTTGCCGAAACTCAGTAAGCGGCCCTCTGCCCAAAATAATTGCCCGCTCCTGCTCTAGGACCTCTTACGTGATCATACATTAGTGAAGGTTTAGTATAGAGTTTTCTCATAAGCTTGGCATATGCCATAAGTCAGGTCTGGGGATGCAGTTCTCCTAGCTTTACACCAACAGAGCTATACTTTATGCCAGGGAAATTCACCAATAGTTAGGCAGAGCACAGGAGACTGGAGCACAAAGGGGGCTGTGTTACAGAAGAAGATGCAGACCAGGAAGTAAGGAAGCAGATATGAAGTAATAGGAGAAAAATGAAAATAGACAAATATATGCAAAAGGAAGGGTCAGTACCAAAGGAACAAAATAGACCAAAGAGGTTAAGGGAATAAGCCAAAGGACAAAGTGTGCTTAACCCCTTGGCTGAAAGGAATTATCACATTAAAGCAGCTAAAAATACAGAAATGCTTTCCTAATGTGACTTTTCCATGAAAACAATTGCTGACGTTGCCACAGAAATGTTATATCTTCAATAACTAATCGAAAGAAGTACTCTGTCCTACAGTCAATCATGCTATGAGAAAGTTTGTCTAATATGGGAATTCCCCAAAGAAAAGTGGCTATCACAGCAATCTGAAAATGAACTCTTTTGTGATTAGCATGCAGCCAGCATACTGTATTAATATATATAAAAAAGATGATGGTATCATTATGTTTAATTTCAGTCCAGTGACAACATCTTAGAAGAAAAGCAGAGAAGTCTAAATTTTGAAGAGCTGAAAGACTGGGGATCAAAAAACATCATTAAAATGAGCACCCCTACTGTCAACAGGATGTCAGATTCAGTTGCTAATTTACCACTGAGGTTTGGAAGAAATTTTCAGGAAGTAAGAAGCATTAAGCCAATAGCCAATTTGCCTTTGAGATTTGGAAGAGCTTTTGGAGGCAGCCTTTCTAGACATGCCTCTGATTTATCACACAGGTTTGGGAGATCTCCATTTGTTAAAAGTTCTGCTAAATCACTTGCAAACTTGCCACAAAGATTTGGAAAATCACTGCTCCTCAACCTGCCTCAAGATGTCCAAGTACCTGAACAAGGTAATAGCAGGTAAATGTTTATACAAGTGATTCTTAACGTGTTTAGTCTAAGAGAATCCTTCCATAATTTTCGTAAATTGAGCAGCACCCTATTTCAAGAACTAATTTATTACAGTGCTACTTACCTCTTTGCAGAGGGGCTTGACGGTGGAGGTGGGGGAGCAGCCAGGCAGGGAGCAGCCTGACCCCAAGTCCATGCTTATCTTCTCACACCTCAGGGCACCCTTCAAAGGATTTGGCAGCACTGGTTTATACCATGCTGGAATATTGTATGTTAGCAAGGATCAGATCCAACCAGCATTGCTCAACCAATCTCCATTAGGTGTTTTGATAAAAGTTTGATTAGTCTGCATAAGGACAGTGGAATCAGGGCCAAAGTTTGTAAAATTAAAGAAGCATTATTATGAGAGGTAGTCAGAAACCATTTATGAAATGTTTTGGCATCAGAAAATGGCAATTCATTAAAACAGAAACTCTGCAGGAAACAACTGGTTTTGACAAATTTCCCATTTTGAGAAATTTTAGGGAAAAAATTCAGACTTGAGCATCCCACTTCAACGGTTCAAAGGCTAAATATCCCAGGTTCTTTTTAAATTAAAAAAACTGTATTTCTTGCTTGAAATTTTTTTTCCATTTCAATATTTAAGCTAATTATAGTACAAAAATTAAATGAGAAGAAAAAGTTGGAATTAAACATTTTGAAATTGTATTGTCAAAATAGTTTTGACAGAAACAAAAATTTTGATACAAGAGATTTTTTTTCAGATTTATGAAAATGTTTTTAATTTTCTGTCCACATTTCAATGGGAAAAAATAAAATCCCAAAAATCTCCCTAGAGGAGAAAAATATTTTCTGCCGCCCTCTGATAAGTATTTGCAACAATAGTTTTCCACTGCATATCTTATTTTTGCACAGCCTCATGTTTTTAGATCTTGAACTATTCCTCAATTTCAAGGCCTGCTGCAAGGCTTACGTTGACACTGCACTGTTTGCCTGGATAAAACAGAAGCAAATTCCAATTCAGAGAAGATCTGTGCAGCATGAAACAGCCAGTACTAGCAGTATCTGACATTTTCAATCCTTTGTTAATGTCTGTCCTGATTATAGCAGATTCTGTTTTGTATTTCTAACATATCTAGGAATCTGAATTCTAACAACTATATTAAAAAGGAATGCAATTATGAAGACTGATGCCAAAAGAACTAAAAGTGCTGGGATCAACATTCAAAGTACAAGGTGATGTGAAGGAAATGTGGAACAGAAATACCTTTATATTATTAATACTATTGTACAGTGCTTTGTGTTTTACAAACACTTGAAGTATCTCGTAATGGTAGCTATAGTGATTGTTGTTTATGTCACTGGCAGTAGAACATACATTTTAATTATTTCTGTATGGTTGATATCGTATTAGTTGTTAAAACTGATTTTGAAGAATAGCTGTATAACTGGAAACATTTTAAGCAAAATAAATAGAAGTGTATTGCAACTAGAAGGAGCCTACTTTATTTGTTTGTTGTGAATAAGAAACAGGAACAATGCTAGAACTATTGCCACCTTTGTGTTACATGTAGCTAACAGAGTCAAAGAAAAGCATAAAAAGAACTACTACTATGGTTGTTTATGAAGCATATTTGGATATAAAGCTGAAAGGAGACAAGTAAAGTTACTAATAAAAACTAGTTTCTGAGACTCCCACAAAGGAACACCAGAGGAACAGATGACATTTCCAATTGCCAAGCTTCTTTGACAGTTTAAGATAATTCCCTTCCTAATGTCATTAGAAATCTAAGCTGTAAATAACCCCTTCCTTTGCCAAGTAAATGACATTACAGCTACTAAATGCACAAGCTGACAGAGGTATTCCATTCCAAAGTAAACATTTTCATGTCATAATTTTATCAAAAACATTCTTTTCTTCAGCAAATACTTGTGCTTCCATTTAACCCAAAATTTAATTCTGAATAATGTTTAAACGACATCATTAAATACTCTTGAATTATATGAACATGGAAAATAAAAAGAATTCAGATCCCAAGTTGCAATGAGATCCTTTGTTTTCCTTCAAAATCCCTTTTGATATATACCTATAT